GGCACGAGCGCTCTTTCCGCGCTTCCGGTGCGCTTGAAGGCCGGCGAAATTTTCCTTTTTGCAAACCGGAAATCCTATTTTCTTTCTGTAATTTCAGGCTACAATGTTAAATAGATAAATTCGTTTCATAACAATATCAATAAACAGTTTCATATGTTTGTGTCTGTACGTCTATAAGTCAAACTTGTTGGTCGTATAATGCCAAAATTTGAGTTTAATTTGAAAGTGTTGAATACCTCCTCCTTCCACTAAATATAACCTAATCGTCTTTCGCCGTTTCGTTTGCAAAAGCTTAACACTTCTTAACCTCAATTTTTACATATGTTAAAGGGGGATAAATTTTTTATAAAATTAGATTGATATATATTGATATAGTGGCGTTGTACTTCTTCAAACTTTGCGTCTCGGGTGCAACCCTCCATGGCGATTCGCGCAATGCGTTGCAAATCCGGCAACCGCATGTAAACAAAATTTATTGAGGTTAGTTATAAGGTTTTTTCTCCGTTTTCTCTCTAAAACAGAACAAGGTAAACAATAAAAACTGAGGGGAAACTACTTTTGAAGTTTCGATGAAACAGAAGGACGTTTGAAATGTTTGTTTCAAAATTAAAAAGAAGGATGATGGTGATTGAAATTAGCATAATTTCACCTTGCACGAGCTGCACGCATTTATAAAATACACGTCATCTAGTTATGAAACACGATCTGCTGTCTTTTAGTTTTGCCGTGGATGAGATTTTCCTTCGTGTTTTAGACAGTACTTACTTGTTTTTGTTTTGGAATAACATCGACATTGGCGAGTGGCAGAACGAAAATATTATTCAGTGGTAGAGTCATGGAAGTAATAAAAGAAACCCTTTGAAAGAGATGTTTGTCTACTCCAACTAAACCTCCCGCAAAAAATGGCAACATTTGCCTCTCGGAGACAGCGAACCAGCACGGAGGAACGAGGAAGAAGTGCAGGAAAACAAATCAAGCTGCCATAATTCAGTGACAGCGGCAGTGTCTAATGTACAAACCACATCGCAAGCCCTGACCGAAGTCGAAAACAAGCGACTTTGTAAGCAGAGTCCCAGTCCACTGCATCACACCTTTTTGCTCGGACGCGCTCGTTTCACCGCCCAACCTTTATCCGCCCTGTCGGATTGCGTTGACATAATGTTCTCGTTAGACTTGCCACAAGTCGACCCCGCGAGTTTCTATGCGAGCGGAGCGAGGCCGCGAAGGGGCCGAGCGAGCGACGGAGTCGCGAGAGGTCCCTCCCCATATTAAATCAGACGAAAGAGTCTTTTAGAAAGTCTACAGGGAAATGAACTTGTCTGGATAATAATTGTCTAGATCTTCGTTTTAGTATATTTCTGAGCCCTCAAGTGAACTTGCAAAACGGTAGCCTCGTTTTTCAATCCTTGGTCATCAAACGATATCCAAACAAGTCATCCCTCAAGTTCATATAGATCAGTTTTAGAATCACTGAAAATCTCTCTTGCTACGCCGTCTTGCTTTTAAAAATTTATTCAGGCGCATATTGATTGTGGTTATGTAAAGAGAGTGAAAAAAAAGGATATAATTTTAATCTACTTTCCAACAGTACCTACACACAACGATTATAATTACCGAGAACTAACAAGAAATCAAATCCATCTTACGAAACTAAATAGTCCATTTACGAATTGCCCGAGCCTCTGTTTTAAAGCATGGTTAAGTGCAAAGCCTTTGCGCGAAAAGTCATTTTTAAAAGATAGACGCTGTACTTGGCTTCAGTTTGGATCTGGGAGTTTTTTGAAACATGGAAAGGCTTACTATGCTTTGGAGCATCACAATTAACACAAGGAGCTGTTCTTTGCTCTCGCAAACATAAGATAGTACGATAGTTTAATCTCCAGAAATGTTCAACTCCATCAAGGATTTAAATAATAATGTAATCAATAAATCATGACGTTTAGGAAATGTACGAGATCGCCTGTGAGTTGATGGTAACTTGAGTGGGCGGGGTTCATACAGTCCAACCTCTCAACAACGGCCACCTTGGGGCAGGAGAAAGTCAGGCCGTTGTCGAGAAGTGGCCGTTATGGGCAGGTAGGGGTGTAATACGACAAATTCTTATTAAGGAGTACAACATTTTTATTATGCTATATTCATGCTTACTATGTCCCAAGATGTTACACCATTTTTTTTTTTTTTTTGCTACGTTCATGCTTACTGTATCCTATGATGTTACACTCTTTCAATAAGAATGTTGTTTTTCCGGCCCATGCTGAATATTCTTATTTTTCTGCTACATGATTTAAGACTGAAAATATAATTTGTATTATTCTTAAATTATAGCTTATGACATTTCCGTTTAAGAATGTTTGGGAGTGTCAATTATAGTTAGTGAAAGGTTTTTGTGATTTAGTTGTTGGCTAGTTTTGCCGTTTTTTCAAAATCTCGGCCTTCGGTTTATTCTTAAAATATTCATAAATTTTCATAAATCTCAGCCTCGATATTCTTATAAAATATATTATTACAAAAAAAGAGTGTAATTCAATCATAAATAATATATAGAGAGATAAAATACACACAAAAAACTTGAATAATGTTTTGAAACAACTGTTAACGTGACAAAACGAACAAGTATCGTAGACAATTTGTTCTTACTGCATGTAGCAGTATAACCCCAATCAATGAATACAATTGCCGCGATCAGTCATCAACGCGCCTACGTATCAAATTTCATGACGGCCAATCTTGACTTATTCATCACTCGCTGAAAAAACTGGTCGTTGTCGAGAGGTTATTTTGGCAGAATGGCAGTTAGGGATACCATATAGCGGCCGTTACCGTTTTAGAGAGGTTTAATTAAGAGTCAATGTACGGAGTGTCCGCCGAGACCGTCCGCCGGGACCGTTCGACTGTACATTCATCTCTAGGAAAAGAGATTTGTCTAAATCTGAAAATCAGAGCTGATAGCAACCCTCCAGATACCTGACCGCTAACTAGAATTACAATCCAATATCTGAATGATAAAATAAAAGTGTTCTAAATGATTCTGTTGGAGGCTTTAAGAGAATACAGTCCTTGAAAATAACTAAATCTAAACCATATTGAACCTATGATTTATGGTGCCTTCGTCGTGATTCAGTGGAGAACGTTTCCTTAGTTCAGTTCCAGACTCCTCAGGACAGCATCTCTCTCCTGCGCATACCTTGTCCTGCCCACATTCCAAGGCACATTCATTACCTTTTTTGCCATCAGTTACAAACTCGGGTTGGATCGTAGTAGAGTGGATACCCTCGTTGTGAAAAAATCCCTTCATCTTGCTGGCAATACCCATGTATTCATCTGGAGATCGGCATCTGATATGGGCTGAAGCTAAAATTAACGCCAAAAGCGGATTACGTAATGGCAGTTATTAAAGTGGGAGCATGCGCAAAGGGCCATTTACGAGTTCCCCAGGGCCTCTGTTTCAAAACTAGATTAAGTGCTCTGCCTCTGATATGGAAATGTTTTTTTATTCTCATGCAAATATAACTCATTTTGACAAGAAAGGTGAAAAGGCCCCACTTTAAAAGTGAGAGTTTTTGGAACTCGGAAGAGGCCTATTTAACAAGTGAGAATGATTTATGACGTAAAACTTGTTCCCAGAAACCGCGTTACCCTTACCCTAGCGGACTGGACTCTGGGGAAGAGATTGTTATCGTTATGACGCCGGTACAAAACATGCAGAGGACCCCGCTTAGTGTTTTGTTCTTGACGCCAAACTTTATAGTCAGAATATCAGAGAGACATTCGCTTTTGCCTTGTTTGCCACTAGTTTATTTTTGCCACATTTTGACGTCATCTGTGTGATCGAAAACTGAAGAGACTTTTATCAATTACAGATCATTCACCAGTCATATTCAGAACTCACCGATAATTTTATTTCCAGCCAACTGCCAGACATGGAATTCATGAACACCTAACACACCCTCTACATGACCCAACAGCCGATCTTGCACTTCTTTGATTTTAATATGGGTAGGAACAGTTTGAAGCAAGATCATTGATGACTCTCGCATGAGTGGAATGGAACTTTTCAGAATAAGACAGACCATCAGAATACTCATACCAGGATCAACATAAACTGTCCATTTACCAGAGGCGTACTTGATGATCAAAGCGCTAATTATAACAATAACAGACCCAAGGGCGTCCCCCAGAACATGCAAGTATACCCCCCTCATGTTCAATTGAGCGCTTGACTTGACTTTGACGTCACTTTTGGCAGAATTGCTGGAAACTGAGAGGTTATTTTCATCTTCACCTGAGGGATGAATGATCATAAAGCAAAAAATTAGTAGCCTGCGTAGCAGGCGCTTCGAAGTAGTGGGCAAAAGAGAGACAGGCGCGCGCGAGGGTGTCTCCTCGCGTGTCTCCTTCACGCGCGCCCGTATTTTCTCGTACCCACTACTTCCAAGCGCCTGCTACGCAGGCTAATAATTTAGGGTATTGCGAGCTAACTGTTCTCTTGCCCTATACACGTCAGACACTCCAAATGTTTTATGGATTACATAGGTAAGGATACTGGCCAATTGCCCCTCATAATCCGTTCAGAATAAAAATTTTCATGTCGTAATGCAAAACGTCAGACGTGAGCGTAGATACGACTGAGATGAAAATAATTGACATTTCTTGAAATTAAATTTCTGACCTAAATAAGTTAACTTAGGGATGGAATAAAAGGCATAATATTGTGAGAAGGAGAACCCTGAAACGATAACTTGGAGAATAATTAGAATAACCAAACAGGCAAAATAATAAAACAGACATTTCTGAGGGTGCCCAAGACATGCCGCCTAGCTGGTATTGTAGATAATATTGGATCGCACTATCTTGTGGTATTTTGCTGGTATATTTACGGTACCGTATTGCGTCAGTTGCCGTTCTTTTCCGCTATGTATTGCGTGTGTCGGTTATGAAGTAGTAGTTGCTTTTAGTTTTGTTTTTGCAGTTTTGGTATTTTTAAGGTTTTTCTTACGTTAAGGGTATCCGAATGATTATTTTATAGTACTGTACGTGCTGTTCTTCATAAACAGTTGATAGTCTAAGGAAATTCAATGTCACAGCAGTTCACACGGATAGTTCCTGAGTTTTTTAGTAGTACAGTCAAACCTCTCCTTACGGAAACCTCTCTATTACGACTGTCCGTTTGGTCCCAGAAAAGCCAAAACTCATACATACCCTACCTCTATAATACGGACACCTCTGTAAAGCGGACACTTGGTTCTGTCCCTTTGGTGTCCATATTAAAGAGGTTTGACTGTATCGCTGCGGTCTAATTGAACGATTTGTTTAACTAAATTGTAGTTCTTTGAATTAGGCATGTTCGGGGATTATAGCTGACCTTCGTGAGTTCTAGGTGCACTGAAGGTCCCTGCTTTTGTATGCTTGGTCCTACAGAGCAATTTTACCGCTAGCGTTCAGTTGGTTCTTTGGTGTAGAGTATTCTATTCTCCGGTTTTCTAGTTCAGCGACATGATACGCAATGGGAAGTTCTCACTTCTCAGGGTCAGCTAACCAGACAAACACGTCTACAATTTGATTATTTAATTCGCTGGTGACAGGCTTGGCTAGTAGAAGAAAAGTTGTTGTAGTTGAAGAAGAATTGTTAGCGCTGAGAAGAATAAATGCCGTGGTAAAATTAACACAAGGAGCTGTTCTTTGCTCTCGCAAACATAAGATAGTACGATAGTTTAATCTCCAGAAATGTTCAACTCCATCAAGGATTTAAATAATAATGTAATCAATAAATCATGACGTTTAGGAAATGATCGCCTGTGAGTTGATGGTAACTTAAGTGGGCGGGGGTCATACAGTCCAACCTCTCAACAACTGCCACCTTGGGGCAGGAGAAAGTCAGGCCGTTGTCGAAAAGTGGCCGTTATGGGGAGGTAGGGGTGTAATACGACAAATTCTTATTAAGGAGTACAACATTTTTATTATGCTATATTCATGCTTACTATGTCCCAAGATGTTACACTATTTTCTTTTTTTTGCTACGTTCATGCTTACTGTATCCCATGATGTTACACTCTTTCAATAAGAATGTTGTTTTTCCGGCCCATGCTGAATATTCTTATTTTTCTGCTACATGATTTAAGACTGAAAATATAATTTGTATTATTCTTAAATTATAGCTTATGACATTTCCGTTTAAGAATGTTTGTGAGTGTCAATTATAGTTAGTGAAAGGTTTTTGTGATTTAGTTGTTGGCTAGTTTTGCCGTTTTTTCAAAATCTCGGCCTTCGGTTTATTCTTAAAATATTCATAAATTTTCATAAATCTCAGCCTCGATATTCTTATAAAATGTATTATTACAAAAAAAGGAGTTTAATTCAATCATAAATAATATATAGAGAGATAAAATACACACAAAAAACTTGAATAATGTTTTGAAACAACTGTTAACGTGACAAAACGTACAAGTATTGTAGACAATTTGTTCTTACTGCATGTAGCAGTATAACCCCAATCAATGAATACAATTGCCGCGATTAGTCATCAACGCGCCTACGTATCAAATTTCATGACGGCGAATCTTGACTTATTCATCACTCGCTGAAAAAACTGGTCGTTGTCGAGAGGTTATTTTGGCAGAATGGCAGTTAAGGACACCATATAGCGGCCGTTACCGTTGTAGAGAGGTTTAATTAAGAGTCAATGTACGGAGTGTCCGCCGAGACCGTCCGCCGGGACCGTTCGACTGTATATTCATCTCTAGTAAAAGAGATTTGTCTAAATCTGAAAATCAGAGCTGATAGCAACCCTCCAGATACCTGACCGCTAACTAGAATTACAATCCAATATCTGAATGATAAAATAAAAGTGTTCTAAATGATTCTGTTGGAGGCTTTAAGAGAATACAGTCCTTGAAAATAACTAAATCTAAACCATATTGAACCTATGATTTATGGTGCCTTCGTCGTGATTCAGTGGAGAACGTTTCCTTAGTTCAGTTCCAGTCTCCTCAGGACAGCATCTCTCTCCTGCGCATGCCTTGTCCTGCCCACATTCCAAGGCACATTCATTACCTTTTTTGCCATCAGTTACAAACTCGGGTTGGATCGTAGTAGAGTGGATACCCTCGTTGTGAAAAAATCCCTTCATCTTGCTGGCAATACCCATGTATTCATCTGGAGATCGGCATCTGATATGGGCTGAAGCTAAAATTAACGCAAAAAGCGGATTACGTAATGGCAGTTATTAAAGTGGGAGCGTGCGCAAAGGGCCATTTACGAGTTCCCCAGGGCCTCTGTTTCAAAACTAGATTAAGTGCTCTGCCTCTGATATGGAAATGTTTTTTTATTCTCATGCAAATATAACTCATTTTGACAAGAAAGGTGAAAAGGCCCCACTTTAAAAGTGAGAGTTTTTGGAACTCGGAAGAGGCCTATTTAACAAGTGAGAATGATTTATGACGTAAAACTTGTTCCCAGAAACCGCGTTACCCTTACCCTAGCGGACTGGACTCTGGGGAAGAGATTGTTATCGTTATGACGCCGGTACAAAACATGCAGAGGACCCCGCTTAGTGTTTTGTTCTTGACGCCAAACTTTATAGTCAGAATATCAGAGAGACATTCGCTTTTGCCTTGTTTGCCACTAGTTTATTTTTGCCACATTTTGACGTCATCTGTGTGATCGAAAACTGAAGAGACTTTTATCAATTACAGATCATTCACCAGTCATATTCAGAACTCACCGATAATTTTATTTCCAGCCAACTGCCAGACATGGAATTCATGAACACCTAACACACCCTCTACATGACCCAACAGCCGATCTTGCACTTCTTTGATTTTAATATGGGTAGGAACAGTTTGAAGCAAGATCATTGATGACTCTCGCATGAGTGGAATGGAACTTTTCAGAATAAGACAGACCATCAGAATACTCATACCAGGATCTACATAAACTGTCCATTTACCAGAGGCGTACTTGATGATCAAAGCGCTAATTATAACAATAACAGACCCAAGGGCGTCCCCCAGAACATGCAAGTATACCCCCCTCATGTTCAATTGAGCGCTTGACTTGACTTTGACGTCACTTTTGGCAGAATTGCTGGAAACTGAGAGGCTATTTTCATCTTCACCTGAGGGATGAATGATCATAAAGCAAAAAATTAGTAGCCTGCGTAACAGGCGCTTCGAAGTAGTGGGCGAAAGAGAGAACGGGCGCGCGCGAGGGGTGTCTCCTCGCGTGTCTCCTTCACGCGCGCCCGTTTTTTCTCGTACCCACTCCTTCCAAGCGCCTGCTACGCAGGCTAATAATTTAGGGTATTGCGAGCTAAATGTACTCTTGCCCTATACACGTCAGACACTCCAAATGTTTTATGGATTACATAGGTAAGGATACTGGCCAATTTCCCTTCATAATCCGTTCAGAATAGAAATTTTCATGTCGTAATGCAAAACGTCAGTCGTGAGCGTAGATACGACTGAGATGAAAATAATTGGCATTTCTTGAAATTAAATCTCTGACCTAAATAAGTTAACTTAGGGATGAAATAAAAGGCATAATATTGTGAGAAGGAGAAACCTGAAACGATAACTTGGAGAATAATTAGAATAACCAAACAGGCAAAATAATAAAACAGACATTTCTGAGGGTGCCCAAGACATGCGGCCCAGCTGGTCTTGTAGATAATATTGGATCGCACTGTCTTGTGGTATTTTGCTGGTATATTTACGGTACCGTGTTGCGTCAGTTGCCGTTCTTTTCCGCTGTGTATTGCGTGTGTCGGTTATGAAGTAGTAGTTGCTTTTAGTTTTGTTTTTGCAGTTTTGGTATTTTTAAGGTTTTTCTTACGTTAAGGGTATCCGAATGATTATTTTGTAGTACTGTACGTGCTGTTCTTCATAAACAGTTGATAGTCTAAGGAAATTCAATGTCACAGCAGTTCACACGGATAGTTCCTGAGTTTTTTAGTAGTATCGCTGCGGTATAATTGAACGATTTGTTTAACTTAATTGTAGTTCTTTGAAGTATGCCTGTTTGGGGATTATAGCTGACCTTCGTGAGTTCTAGGTACACAGAAGGTCCCTGCTTTTGTATGCTTGGTCTTACATAGCAATTTTACCGCTAGCGTTCAGTTGGTTCTTTGGTGTAGAGTATTCTATTCTCCGGTTTTCTAGTTCAGCGACATGATACGCAATGGGAAGTTCTCACTTCTCAAGGTCAGCTAACCAGACAAACACGTCTACAATTTGATTATTTAATTCGCTGGTGACAGGCTTGGCTAGTAGAAGAAAAGTTGTTGTAGTTGAAGAAGAATTGTTAGCGCTGAGAAGAATAAATGCCGTGGTAGTTGAAGAACAGAGTCTCGGTTCCTTCGTTAACTAGCCAAGCGAGAACCCTACAGTCCCCAACACGTGTCCCGCTTTGGTCCAGTTATACTTACCATTACTGGCCGAGGTACAATGATTCCTTGATTTATCTTCATCCTCAGGCTCTCCGTGATCAGAGCTATGTTCCGTGTCATTGGTCTCAATTCCAACTGTTTCCTTGCCTAAAACGAAAAGTAAAGTGATTAAATGAACTATTTTCAATAAGTCGGCAGCGCACTGCGTTATTTGCAACTTTCGTCTTCTATGTTCTTATCCTCATTTGGGCCTCTGTACACTCACCATTACAAACTACATCGCCATCAGTTTTATCCCTCGATTCATCTTCATCTTCCAGTGCTGAATGATCAGACTCCAGTTGTTCTACATCATCGGTTTCAATTCCATTATTTTCTGTGCCTAAAAAAACAACGATGAAGGAGACTGAAAAATACTAAACTAAATTTATACACGAAGTCTGACACAATGTGAAGCGATTGAGACAAAGGGTGTTCAGCTCGCACATAAAAAAACACTGATGGATTTACAATTTGGATTGTAATTCTATTCCAGTTTTATTGTGCCTTAGATGCAACTTTAGTAAAATCGGAAACCTGTTCTCTCAAGATTATAGGTTAGTTGACCTCAGTCAATAGAATTGACTTCTGTTATTTTTTTGGAAGTCGGGTGAAAACACCCACATCAATATTAAGCTTCTTAACTAAAGCCGAGCTTTTAACACAACATTAATCTGTCCCACTGCCGGGATTTTATTATTTTTTTATTATTTAAACAAGCTCACTCAGCTGATCTTATAGCTAAGTTTGAATTCTGGACAGCCGAGTACACTCGCCACTGCTCCAAAAAACAGGGGCACCCAACGACAATTTACGGAAAAATATCCGTTCGGAAGACGATTTGAGATCTAGAATTTTCGGAACATTTGTTGTAAAATTTCTTGCTTACCTGCTTCTCCTAGGATTTTCGAACATCTAAAAAATGGTATAATTGCCTATTTTTAACGGATTTTCACCCTAAAAAGGTCACCTAGAATTTTCGGGAGCCTTTTTTCTGGCTGAAATTTTCGCACAGGCGAGTTTTGATCCCTATAATTTTCGGATCACTAGACTTTCAACTAGGAAATCCGAACAGATGAAACATTTTTAGGGGATAAAAATATTCCTTTATCTACCGTTTAAATACTAAAATACGTTTAATAATGCTATGTTTAAGTGGTTTTGAACTATATTTTCGTTGGGTGCCCCTGAAAAAAGTCAAAAAGGGTCGAACACAAGCGTAATTGTCTCATTTTGCAGCCTTAAACCCTTTCTCCTTTAAAAAGTAAATAAGTACCCAATTTCTGAAAAAGAGACACGGATATTAAAAACAGCAAGTACTGTTTAATGTTCTATTAATTTATTTTGTAAAATATTTATAATTCATTACTGCAATTATTGCAAGTCTTTCATCTTGACTTATAGTTAATTATAGTCTATCGTGAATCTCTCAAGAAGTCAATTAGCCAGATCGTTGCACTTATAATATTATATATACCAAATAGCGTAGTTATATGATAGTATTATTTATAATCACCACGATATTATAACTGCAATTTAGTCTAAAAGTTCATCAAAACGAACATTCCAGTTCTTGAGAAAATAGTAAACATAACAACGAGCCTATAGAGTCTCGATTGATAAACTGGAACATTAGACCGGTTCTAATTTATTAAATCTCGGTATCTAATACAAAAGGCTTTTTTTAAACTCTTCATTGCCTTGATGCAAAGTTGTCAGAGAAGTCGTTAGTGCCACTATGATTTACTAGCAAAAACAGAAATCACATAACAGGGGCGCCCAACGTCAATTTTCCGGAAATATCTGTTCGGAATTTGAGATCTAGAATTTCCGGAACATTTTTTGTAAAATGTCTTGCTTGCCTACCTCTCCTAGGATTTTCGAACATCTAAAAATTGGTGTAATTGCCCATTTTTAACGGATTTTTACCCTAAAAAGCTCACCTAGAATTTTCGGGAGCCTTTTTTCTGGCTGAAATTTTCGAAAAGGTACGTTTGGTCCCTATGATTTTCGGATCTCGAGACTTTCAGCTAGGAAATCCGAACAGATGAAAAATATTTCGGGGATAAAAATATGCGTATATCTACCGTTTAAATACTAAAATACGTTTAACAATGCTATGTTTAAGTGGTTTTGAACTAAATTCTCGTTGGGTGCCCCTGACATAAGAGGAAAAAAACATGACATGGTCCACCATAAGACTCACCTTCATGTATGGTATGGTCGACAGTCTTGTGGCTCTCTTTTTCCCTTCGTGGCCCTGACTGAATGGCTATTTGTACATTTTTATTTTCTACATTTTCAGTTACATGCTTATTGCCATGGTTATCCTTGTGACCATTGCTACCACCATGGCTGTGCCCATGCCCATGTTCATGAAATAACATGAGGCCGATCACATTAACCGCTAAACCGACCGCTCCAACGATGAGAACCAAAACTGGGTTCTTTAGTGACTCTGGCTCCACGAGTCGTTTCAACGACTCGACGAGAATTGAAAAGCAGAGTGCAATAAGAAACAAAGAGTTTACCAAGGCACCCAAAACCTCAGCCCGTTGCCAGCCGAAAGTGTTTCTCTCAGTTCGATGGCTGCGTTTGGAGAATCTCAAAGCGAAAAAGCCGATTATCAGCGAAATAACGTCGGATAACATGTGAAAAGAGTCAGCTACAAGAGCCATTGAGTTTGTTGCATAACCAACTATTATTTCAACAAGAAAAAAGGAAGAAGTCATGAAAAGCATGGACATGACACTGCCTGTCTTACCACATAACATTTTCCTTAACTTGCTTAGCATTGAATCCACCATTTTGGCTCTAAAATTGAAAATAACCAAACCACGCTGCACCTTACGACTCGTTAGCTATAGAGACTGTGCGCGTCAAACTAATTTTGTGACAAATCAGGAAAGTTTATATATCGTCTGGAAAGCGGAACTTTGTTACAGTAGTATTGAATTTCCAATATCTCAAGAGAGCACGCAGAGAATAAAAATAGAATTTCCGATGTCGTCTGACATGATTCCCCTTCCTCATTTTTCTTCTCTTTATTTTTTCCACGTCAAATATACTGAGGCAAATTTCTATTAAAATGCGACTTTGTCTGTCGCAAAAACACCAAACAAATTGTGCAGAATGTTTCTTAAAGAGTACAGTTACAGTGTCCATTGACCGGGGGGTACTCAGCAAAGTTTTACACGAGGAGGCTGCGCCCTAAAGTTAAACCCCTTATAATTTTGACAAAAAAGGCATGCACCCCTTTCACAGACTTAGTTCAGAACGAATCCCATTTAAATGCCAGACGCGTCTGTTTGTACTTTTTGGTCCTTTCCTTTCACAGACCGAAACGACAGATTTCACCACCCATTCATATACTCACTCGTGAAATCCATACCCTTTCATAAACCTGAACCTTGAAAAAGGTACCCCTTTGTGGAGCCTCCCCTCCCGGTATAGACCATTATAGGAACTTGTACCCCCGGAGGGTCGACTGTTCTATCTTGATGTAGTATACATTTTAGTTAGCCACGACCCCCCTCCCTCCCCTCCCCTCCCCACATCACCCCAACAACGCTTCCTCGTATTCAATCTATCATTGATCAAGAACGATGATGAATAAACAGTACATACAGTTAATGGTGACCCCTTCATATTTCAGGATTTACAAAGCGGATGAGGTTGATGCATTGCAGGAAACAGGGTCATGGACCTTAATGAAATTAGCTTACTTAAATTTGCTTGATGACCCCGAAACAACTGAAAGGAAAGACATACCAACACGATCTCGCTACGTTTAAGGGACGGACCATTAGAAAACTTATTGGGGGGGGGGGGG